TCCTGCTTTTCCCTTCCCACAGGGGCTGGAAGCACACAAGTACAAGAACACCTGGGACTGCGCCTACCAGATCATGAAACATGAAGGGCCCCTGGCGTAAGCTCTGCAGTGGGGGTGGCCGGTGGGGAGGATGGGCAGGGAAGGGGCTGTGAGGGCACCCAGCCCCATGGCCCCCCTCTCTATCCCTGGCAGGTTTTACAAGGGTACAGTGCCTCGCTTGGGCCGTGTGTGTCTTGACGTGGCTATCGTCTTCATCATCTACGATGAGGTGGTCAAATTCCTCAACAAGGTGTGGAAAACGGACTGAGGGGCCGGGCCAGGTAGCCCCCGCCTCCTGTGCCCCACAGGGCTTCAGCTGGAGAGCAGAGACCAAACCCACACCCACCTGCGGCGCTGCTGGGGCCAGGTCTGCCCTGCACACCCCAAACCTGGCCACCTTTATCTTTAGGAGCAGGCCCTGGAGCAGGTTAAATTACTAGTTGTGTGCTGAAAGGAGCAGGGAGGGAGCTGCATCCCACCATCCCATCCCCCAGCATCCTGGTCATGCCCACCCCAATCTCCTGGTGATGCATTCTGCCAGCCCCACATCAGCTGTGTGTGCTGGTTAACCAGGCTGAGATGTCCCTTGGATAGTGGCCTTGGGGCTTCCAGCAGCCAGGAGCTCCTGACTGCCAGGGGAGCAGCTCCTTTGAGGTTGCTGAGAGCCCCCTAGAGCCATGTGGATGCAATGCCAAGCTGTACATCACAAGCTGACAATGGGGCTGATGCCACTGGCAGGGTCACAGCAGCTCTTGGAGGGGGCCCAACAGCCCTGCACCCCCTGGGATGGGAGGGCAGTGACCTCCTGGTGTGACCCCAAGCTCCCTCCTCCCTCCCTGCCAGCACCAAGACCCCTGGTGTGCAACATCCCATCCCATCCCATCCCATCCCATCCCAGGTATCCTGCTCAGCCCCAGGCTGCTGAGCAGCAGTTGCCCGGAATTGCACATACAGCCAGGCCTTTAGTTCTGCTCACTGTGGGCTGGGGTTGGGGTGAGCCGGGTGCCCCCTCACCCGCCGTTTACAGCCGAGATGTGTGTGCGAGCCAGGGCGAGGTGCAATCCCACGCCGCAGGCTTGGCCTCTCGGCCAGGGGTGCAAACCCCTTTCTTCTGCCACATTCCCCACATCTGCCCTCCTGCCGCCTGTCTGTGGTGCCGTAGGTGATCCCGTAGCTTTTGGAGCTTCACGCTGACTCACTAACACCCGTGGCCGTGGGGCTGGAGCCCTGCCCTGCCCGTGCCAGGCTGGCCCCACAGGATTTGTGCCAAATTTCTTCCTGAGGGAGCTGGGGGTGCAGGAGCCAGGGCTCAACCCATCTCTCCCTCTTGTAGCCAGCGATGAGCTCAGCCTTAACACAGGAGGGTGAAGGAGGAAAGCCTGGGCACGGTTTACCTGCGGCTTTCGGCTCTGAAGCCAGTGAGGGTTGCATTAGTTTTTTTTTAATTATTATTCTGTTTTACATTTGCAATTTGAATAAAATCAGTCTGGCTTTAGCAGCTGCGTTTGCGTCTAGGCTGTGCTGAGTGGGCGGTGAGTGGCTCCTGCCCTGTGGGTGGGGGACGGGGCTCCCCATCATGCCAGGCTGGTGCTCCCAAGCAGGTTTGTGTTGTCTCATGCACAGTGCTTCATTAATAACCCTGGTTAATTGTATGAAGTCCTTGCCCTGCCATGGAGCCGAGGGGCGGTGGAGCAGAAGGGAACGGGCTTTGTCCCCCCGCCCAGCCCGGGGGCGGTGCGGCACGGCCGGAGCTCCCACCGGCACAGCCCTCGCTCCTCATCCGGTGCCGGTGCGAGGCAGAGCCATCATCCCGCGGGCTCGCAGGCTCCCGCTGCCATGCGGGGCCCGCTGCTCTGGGCGGGCTGGCTGCTGGCCACCGGCTGCCTGGTGGGTGCCACGGGCAGCTGCCGGCACCGGTGCTGCCCCGGCAGGAACAACGCCTGCTGGGCCCCCGGTGCCCGCCGCGCTCGCTGCTACTGCGACTCGTACTGCCAGAGGACGGGGGACTGCTGCCAGGACTACCTGGCCACGTGCCGCCGTGCCGGTGAGTGGCGATGGGGATGGCACTGGTCGGACCGCGGCTGGGGACACCAGCCTGTGCTGCTGTGCTCGGTGGCGAGTGTTTGCTGTTACCTGTTAGCCCCGTGCTTCGAGTGATGACAGGATGTGTCAGGGGATGCCGGCAGGGCTGGGTTTGTAGCAGTGTCCCAGTTGTCCCCTTTTTTCCATGCCGAATGTCTGGCTGGCCCCGGTGCAATGAGGGAGCTCGTGGCCTCTGGTCTGCAGGTGATGGTAGCGCAGTCACTGCAAGCCCGAGTGGTCAGTGTGGGACCCAGCAGCACAAGCCCCGATGTCACAGGCGGTGCCTTGTACAGGGACGGGGAACCGGGGGCTGCTCTGAGGGTGCCAAACAGGACTCATGGGCTTGGGGAGTGCAGAACCAGCCTGCCCTGGGGACCCAGATCTGGTCAGGCGCTGGCCACGGCCCCCTGGACAATTGCAGCAGTCAGCTCTTCCTAATCTCCGGGGAGATTAGCAGGGTCCCAGCTCAGCGCGATGCACACAGGGATGAAGTCCTGCGGAAGCAGCTCATAATGCCCCTGACTGCTGGGGTCACTCTGCCCTTGCCCTTCCTCCCCTCTCCCGTCCCCCGTGCTGCATCTCCCCTGCTCTTTCTATTGTTCGTGACGCTGAAACTCTTTCTTTTCCCTCTCCTCCATCCCTGGCAGCAGTGGGCTGTGCTGTGGGGCCCTGGGGGCCGTGGAGCGGGTGCAGCTCCCCGTGCGGGGTTGGCAGCAGGGCCCGCAGCCGCCAGGTCACTGTGCCGCCCCGGCACGGAGGGGATCCCTGTCCTGACCTCAAGCAGCGCCGCGGCTGCCTGGGGCAGCACCCGGCCTGCGGCATGGCCAAAGGTAACGTGGGCTGCCTGCTGCCCTCCTGCGTGGTCATCCCCGTGTGCTGCCATCCCGGGGTGTCTTTAATCATCCACGTGCCCCTCACAGCTTCTCTTCTGCCAGAGGTAGCCAAGATCCTCCCCAACTCCTTCAGCCAGGACTTCAGAGATCCCTGGCGAAGAGCTGGGCTGGCACTGCCGGAGGAGCCCTCTGGGTATGTGCAGAGTCGGGGCCCCTCTGTAACCACGAACAACCCCAGCTCTGTCCCCAAAGCCGGGACCCCTCCTGCACTCCCGCTGCAGTCATGGCCCCTCTGCGCCCCCCAGACCCAGGGCCTTTTTGCTTCCCACAGCCATTACTTTTCTCCCTGTCCAAACCATGGCCCCCATACATAACCATGGCCCTTCGTATGTCCCACAGAACCATCATCCTTCCCACCCTCCAAAACAGGATCCCTCTGCACCCCCCCAGAGCCATTACCTTTCTCACCTCCCCAACCGAGGCCTCTCTACCAGCCCCCAAACCCACATCCTCTTTATACACAAATCCATCAAAAAAACCACCGCAAGCTCTGCCCTACTGCCTGCCCACCATTTTCCCTCTTTTCTCCTCCCATTTTCCCCCTCCCCAGCTACTGCGGCTATTTCCGCCTGACACAGGTGGGACCCCCGTGCCGCGGGCGAGCCTGGAGCCGCCGGCTGCACCGGGACAAGCAGGTGTGTGTGGAATGCCGGGGGAATCTGGCTCACCACCGTCCCCACTGCACTGGACACGGGCTGCAAGGAGCCAGGTAGGTGATAATTTGTGGCATCCCCACCATGGGATCTCTCCTAAGGAACATCACTCCCTGCCTCTAAGGCATTCTCCTTTTATATTCTAGTTATAATATTTGTAGACGAAACTATAATTATGGTAAAATATGCCACAATATTATAGTATACCATCATATTATTAAATGAATGAATAATATGTCATATAAATCAAGATTATAATATAAAAACAAACATATTTAAATAGGATATGTCTGTTGAAAGGGACATACAATGATCATCTAGTCTGACTGCCATTATTGTATATGTAATATAAACCCATATATAAAACTCTATTTGATTTTGAAAAAATTATTAATGGCACACCCCAGTTCTCACTGATTTTCCCTTCCAGGTCATTTTGGGTGGCCGCTTCTGTGGTGGGGTGCCAGGGCTCGTGGGTGCAGGAGGGCCTGCAGGAGGGCTGCATCTGCTCCCCACCAGCTCTCATGTTCGTGTAGGATCCCCCTGGGAAGGTGAGCTGAGCCTCCCCACGGCACCACTCCTTGCTGGGGAGGTGGGGAATGAAATAAAAATGTAGTCTCTTTCATAATTTCACCCTCCTGCAGGTTTGCTGCTCACCCTTGGTGCCAGCTCCCTCGATTTTCCATTAAATATTTTGCTGAAGAATGGAAAACCCCTCCTTATAAAGACTAAAAATAAGGGAATTGTTAAAGTGTGGTGATTAATGGTAGAAGAACAACATGATGAGGTTAAGTTTGGGTGAGAAGATGATGTGGCAGTGACATGGTGTGATGATGTCACACTCAGCCTTGACATCATACTTTCAACGAGCTTCGACTGGCAAGCAATGTGAGGATGGAGGCAGCATCCTTCCTCTTGTCTGAGTATCAGGTCTCACTGCCTCACTGCAGTATCAGGTGAGCCATGCAGGGCAGTTCAGGCCTGCTGGGCTTTGCAGAGAGCAAAGTCTGTACGTGGGCGATGGTGCTGGTGTCCAGTTCCAGCCGTGGGGCTCGGCTGCCTGCACTGGAAGGAATGAGGCTGGGCTGGGCGGTGCTGCTGCCCTTCCCCACTCCTCGCCCAGCAGGACATGACCTTGCTGGTGGGGTCCCAGCTTTGGGTGGTGGTACCACAGCCTGTGGTGGGAGCACGTGCCATGCCAGGGCTGGATCTTGCTCCACTGCAATCAGTGGCTGTTGCCTGTTTGCTGCCCCAGGACACCTTTGGCTCCTGTAGCCTGCTCTCACACCACCCTCCTAGGCAGGAGAATTAAAAGGCTTCAACACTGGGAGTATTCCTGGCCTCTTTATTTGGGATAAAAGCCCAGGTTGGCCAAGGACCAAAGTGCTGGTTAAAAAAACAGGTGGTGGGAGTTGAGCATGAGAGGGTATGAGAGTTCTGGAGCACAAGCTCCCTCCTGCCAGCCAGAGTTTGAGGGCAAGGAAGTCGTGGCCAAGGCAATGCTGCACTGGAGTCCTCAGCTGGAGAGTTAGAAACTGGGAACAGAAGTGTGTCCCGCACTGAGTGGGGTTCCCCTGAGTTACACCACCAAACCTGAAGGCCTGGCTGCTGGTCAGAGAGAGCATCCAGGAAATGGAGGGAGATGGCTGCAGGATTTCATGTCACACTGCTGCATGCCTGGAGCTGTCAGTCCCCCACAGTAGTCCCAGCTTTCCTGGTGCATTGTCCTGATTTGGCACAGGGGCCAGCCCGTGCTGCACCAGCAGCCCCTGTACCAGCTCCAGCTCCTGCTCCAGCTCCTGGGTGCCACAGCCCAGGCCTGGCATGGTGGTGGCACCGTCCCCCAGCACCTGTAGCACTTGTGCCACCAGCTGGGCCCTCACCAGCAGCACAGCCAGGGCTGTGTGGAGCTTGGCACAGCCCAGTGCTTTCATCCCCCAGTGGACAGCAGTCCCTGTGGAGAGAGTGGGTGAAGGAGCCATGAGTGTGGCAGGGTCCCCCTGGGCAGAGCTGGCCTGGGGAACAAGGACACTGTTTGCTTGTCCCAGGCACTCCACACTCGCCATACCTTGGCTCCAGCAGTGTTTGCAGTACTGCAGGTCCCTCAGTACACTGGGGCCTGTGGTTTCCAACCACTGCAGAGCCGAGGCATGGAGTGGGCTGCCAGTGGGAGCCTTCTCCAGGAGCTGCACCAGGACAGGGAGCAGCTGCCGTGCCAGGACAGCTGGCTCTGCAAAAACGTTGGGTTCATCCTCCTTGTACAGGCTGGCAGGTCTGGGGGGAAAGATGAGGTGTGAGTGAAGACACAGGCTGGCCCCATGGTACCCCACACTCCCTTACGCCAGTCCACAGGTCCAGCAACTCACTTGTTGGCCTCTAGCTCCTCCACGACACTCCTGAGATCTAAAATGGGGAGGTGTTGAAGTAGTGAGTTGAAGGTCTCAGGGTGCTCCCCGAACTCTCTCAGAAGGAGCTCTAGCAGGCTCTGCAGCCCCACATTGTCCTGCACAAAGATGCAGCCATCTCGGAGCAGCTCCCCTGGGCTCTGCCGCAGGAGGCTGGCGAAACCCGAGGCCTCGTGCCGGACCTCCCGCTCCTCATCTTGCAGAAGGTGAATGGCCATGTTTATCAGCCTGAGGAAAGGGAAGAGAAGTGAAAGGAAGCACACTGCTCACCCCAAAGCATCCCAGCCTGCTTGGAGGGGAGGAAAGGGTGAGACCTCAGAAAAATGCTTCTCTGAGGGACTTTTCTCCCGGACTGTGAAAGACACAGCCACCACCCAAGAGCTTAGAGCTTGGGAGGACAGGGGCAGTGCCAGAGACTGAGGGACCCAGCAATGCAATCTGCTGCTCATAAGGCACTGGCTGCTTGTATTAAACTGCCACCCACACATTGTTTTGTAGGCTGCGAGCTCGAGTGCCAGTAACTTTTGAATGAGTGAGGTTTTCTTCAATACCCTTGAGTTTTTGCAAGGGAACACCTTTTGCAGAGTCCATTAACCTGGAGCAGGCTGGGGCTGTAGGGAGCAGTGCTGCTGTGAGCTGGCTGCCAGCACAGCCATCCGCAGAGATGGGCTCAGTGACCTACCGCAGAGCCACAGGGACGAGCGAGGGACAGGCAGCACGCAGGGATCGCTGCACCACGTCAGCCCCTGCCATCTGCAGGGAGCGGGCAGCCGCCAGCCGCAGCACCTCGCACCAAGTGGACCGGCTGCACTCCTCCAGCGCCGCACACCAGCGCTCCATCTGCGCGCCATCCTCGTCCCCAAACCTGCCGGAGGCCAGGGAAGGACAGCAAATTCAAGCACACCTTTCTGCTCCATTAGGGGACCAAAGGCCACCGGCTGCCCTGAGATCGCAGGAGCCAGGTGCAATGCTGTGATTTATGGGAGAGAAGTCATGGCTCTGTTTCTAGTAAGGACTAAGGAAGAATCTGCTGAAAGAGTTGGGCAGCCCCCAGCAGCAGTGGGGACCTACTGATGAGCGAGCAGCAGGCTGGCAGCACACAGCGCCTGGAAGAGGAGATCAGGCCCAGGACACTCAGCCTCCACCATGTGCAGCAGCATCTCCAGGCATGATGCTGAGGAGCCCTGGAGCTTACTGGAAGCTTCCTGGGACCACGATGAAGGATCTCTGTAAAGATGCAGCAAAGCTTCAAGGTACAATCTCAGGAACTCTTTGTCCCTTCTCTCTTGCAGCACCGACCCCAAGCTCTCCTAGTTGACAATGGGAAAGAAGGGACATGGTTAGTGGTCCTAGCACTGCAGGACTGGGCAAGTACTCTACACCTATGTACCCTCAGCCTGGGGAGCACCAAGCTTCTCAGCAATGGGATCTCAGGGGTCCCATCTGCGTGGTGCACTGGAGCCCCCCGGCTTTACTTGGTGACTTTTGAGCCCCATCATACCAGCAACGTCAGCCCAAGAGCATTCTCCACTTCCTTGCACGTTCCTCCCTCCCCAGCAATCACCCAGCTCAGGATGGCAAGCTGGATGTCAGGGTTGGGCTGCTGGAGAAGTGAGCAGACAGCAGCAATCCGCTTGCTGTCTGCCAGCCGGGCTGCCTCGCTGCACATGAAGTGGGCCATGGTTTGGTGGAGGATGGCTGAGCCCACCTGCAGGAAAAAACAGGATTCCCCTTCCAGTGCTCAGCCTGGGTCCCCCTGTCCCTTCCCAGGCTCACTGCCAGTCAGGCATGGCCATAATTTTCCTGGCAGGAAGCGGTA